CTCAGCGGAGGATAATACTTTCCCCTATTCTGCTTCCTCTCTGCCCTTCTTGTAACTCTGACCTGCATCATCTCAGGAACTGGTCGGGGTATTTAGGTTTATGTGCAGCTGGCTCTGTGAGCAGTTTGTTTTTCTTATTCTACCCCTCTGTATGGTTGAGGACTGACACGTGGTGAGTCATCTCGCCAGCACATCCATGAGCACAAAGGAAGAGCCCGTCTTTCAACAGCTGCTTCAAACAGACAGCCCCACCAATTTACCAAAGGGAATGTCTCTGAAAGCCTTTTAGAACAAGGTTTTGGCTGGTGTTTGTTTTACAAAGACATTTGCTAAGCTTGCATGTCCAGTTATTGCTTTATTTTGATGGTACATAGTGTTTTAGCCTCAGTATGTAAGCAGTATCTAATCTTGTAACCATTGGGTGTAACTGAAAACATTATAATTGGTCCACTCCAGACTATACTGTACCTTGTGAACGTCTTCCACGTCCTATCACTCGTTCACCAACTCTAAAACTCTAAAAACTATCATCAAACAAAAACTTTGCCGCGTGTGTGTGTGTGTGTGTGTGTGTGTGTGTGTGTGTGTGTGTGTGTGTGTGTGTGTGTGTGTGTGTTTGACAGTGACTGTGGGAATGTGTGTTAAAGTTGATTGTGTGTGCAGGTGTGTATGTGTTGATGTTCTTGTTGGTGTGTGTTATACTAGCAAAATATAATCATTCACTATTATAAGTATAATTAATTTAATAAAATTAAAAATGAACCATTAAAAATAAATCAATAGGAGATACGTGTCTGTACAGAATGGTAATGATGAAGCTGATTTAAAACAAATAACTCCTCCTACTAAGCCCACACTAAGCTTCCTGTCAGTTTGGCATGTCTGAGTTGTCAGGACAACCCAACGCGCCTCCGGTACTATGTCCGCATTACATTAAACACAATCGCTTGACCCTAGCTGGCCCTATCCCCTGTACCACATCTACTTGAGCTGCTACAACAAGGTCTAGCCCCCTTTCCGTGTTCCCACCATGTAGGGGAACAGGGGAGAACAATCCCATTACATTACAACAGGCCCAGAGCTGATCTAATGGAGAGAACATTAAAACCATGTCGCGTCCAGTCACTTACTTGATGGATCCTGGGAGAGAGGGACGAAGCGGAAGAGAGATGGCGAGGAGAAGGAGTGTTGGAGAGAAGGGGGAAGGGATAGGGGGCTGTGGGGGTTAGAGGTGTTGATATGACAATGCGGATGCGGCAATGGAAAGCTTGTGATGGTACCTCAGTGCCCTTGAGCAAACTGTCATTCAAACCACTTTAATTAATTTCTCCATTTTGTCTTCTTCCCCGCCTCCCTGCCGTCACACACTAGCATACATACAGGAGGCAGTAATACAATAGAAAGTACGTGTCAACAACTTTAGGCTCAATAAAAAGAGGATTTTGTGATGGAAATATGTGGCCTTGTGTCTGTTATAGCCAAGATCTGCCAACGCCGGCTTCCTAGTTGTCAGAACAGGCTGAAGCAGGCATGTTAGAAACCCACCATTTTGCAAAATGGAGCTTTGTATTGTTAGGGTGTATAATTAAGACCTCATTGTGACAGCCATTGAGAAAGAGCTAATGAGGGTTCTGATGTATTCCATATGAATATGAATATTGAATTTTTAATATTTAATGGCTTTCTAATTGCCTTGGTTGCTGTTAATGGCTTTGACTGTTGAATATTACCCAGAGTGAATGTGTGGCATGCGTAAGTACCTTTAAGCTGAGAGCTGATAAAATAGCTGCATTCTCAAGCCGAATTCTTTGCTTTATGATTGTCGTGTATGTATCTTTGGGGCAGATGCATATCTTGACTGAAGGCATGTCTGTGACTGTGAATACATTTGAACCACTCTTTTACTCCCTTACCAAGATGAATGTATATATAATTACAAAGTATATCACACACACTACCTTGATATAGAGTTTAATGGCCGTATCGTTTCTTTGTGGAGCATGTCTGCTGGCCTTAATCTTCCCCACAGCTGACATCTTAATAACTCAGCCTTCTCCATCTATTTCCACGGGAGACATCCGGATGTTGGGGAAGGATTAGTTTAATGAATTTGACAATTAGTAACAGAAGTTAATGACTGCATGGGGCTAAGTACCCTGATGGACATGGCTGGGGGGACTGAGGGCTTCCATTGCTGTGGGCCATAGATCCTCATTAATAGCTTTTCTGCCTGCTGGAGAGGACAGGGGAAGCCAGGCCAGGCCTTTGTTTAGTCTGCCTCTGAAGGGGCTGCTAGGGGGTTGCACTGTTGCACAACTCCATGCCAGAATTAGTCCCGCTCTAGGCGTGAGTTAATGCAGGGCCTCAGGTCCTGGATCAGGTGAAGCTTCATTTAATGAGCTAGGGTCATTAAATGTTGAAAAAAGAAAAGTGACATGGAATCGGGGCGGGCAGGGAGCTATTTCTTCCGATCTTGTGCCAACAGTCATGAAGAAAGAGAAGTGGCTTGTGGGTCACAAGAGTCCTGATGACCTCTGCCTTGATTTATCTTTATGTTAGGTTCTTACCCGGATTCCACCTTTAATGCAGTCAAAACATCGTTTAGCTGGATAGCTCTCGTAAAGATTTTATTATTATTTATTATTATACTATGCTTCATGAGCTACCTTGTCGCTTTGTCAGGTATTCCCGCCATAAACCATTTTGATAAATTTTTCAGCTACCATAAAATCAAAGTTTGTATTTTTTATTGCATCATGAATACACATGAAACAATTCCCATAAAATCCATCAATTCAGATTTATACATACATATATCAGTTCTTCACAATAATTCATCCTACCTTTCCCACAGAGGATGAGAAAGTACGTCTAGAATTTGTAAAAATTGCGTCCAGAGCAGCATTGACTGCCCCCTCATTCCTGCCTGTCTCCTGGTGATAGCTATAATAGCGACAAAAACATAACCGCATCCAAAAATAATCATTTCCCAAAGCTGTTTGCCAAAAAGTCTACTAGCTAAAGTCTCCATTGAAAACAAGGGGATGTGTGAGAAATTTGTCTCGTGTTATCATTAGTGGCAAGTATGCCCCGGCTGCATGATGTAATGTAATGAGAGCCGGTGAAAAGAGAAGCCTTTTAATTGGTCGAAGCTGAGTCAAACCTCAGAAGTCCAAGTACCTGCAATAGTCTCCCCCCAGAGAGAAGGTGAGACGGCGGGAGACAAAGAGACAGAAACACAAGAGGAGGATATTGTTTGCTGTTGCTCTGATGCTCTGTTATTCTGTCAGGCCAAGTCTGGTCCTGCCAAATTTAAAGCCAAGGGACCAAATTGGTGTTGATGTAGCGCACTCCTTCAACACTCTCATTCCTATCTCTTTTCCTCTTTCTCTCTGTCTCTCCTTATCCCACTCTTTACCTCCTAATATGCCTCTTTAGGAAGTGACAGTTGTATTTAGGGAAAAGGTTATCATTGTATTAGAATAGAGTGCTGGCCCTGAGGCTTACCTAGAATTACATGACACTGCCTGCAGCCCCCTTCGCTCTGTGCTGGGCTGAAATGTTATCAGTCTGACTTAATTACTGTCACTGGGCAGTGGAATTGACTGTAATGTATATTCCAGTGTTGGACAAGTTACAGAGATATTAGAAACTAGAGTACTGAATCCCAAGTTAAGATCTCCTGGTGTTTAACTTCAGGTCAAAGAGTTAAATTCTGGCTGTGTATTTGTGTGTACACAATTAGCTTCAGCTTTATACTTCATGTACTCTGTTGCACCATAAACACCTACACACACACACACACACACACACACACACACACACACACACACACACACAAATGCACGTAGCCACACACAGAGCACATCCTTTATCTGATTAGCTGGCACGCCTACGTGGAGCTCTGTGTGTGAGGCTCAGTGCATCGTAGCGTCAGGCCCCAGGCAGGGCATGGATTTCATTTAGGAAAGTATCAAAGGTTTACACGCTGTTCGCTTTAATCAGCATGTTTATCAGGCAGAGAAAAATTGCAGGAAGGGACCACAGGGAGAAGGAGGGGCGGGGGGGTTATCTTAAGGACCAGTAGCCAGGGAAATTGATAATGGCTACAAGGTAATTTACTGGAGACTTGTGCATCCCTCCACTGCTTCTCCCCTCGCCTCTCATTCTAATTACAGCCCATGTAATGTTTTAATGAATCTGCAGGTGTGTGTCTGGAGGGGAGGGGCATAAAGGTAGGGAAGGGGGGTTTCGCATGAATGTCTATGTGTGTGAGCATGCGCCGCTTGCTCGCACCTATGTGTATTTGTTCGCGTTTGTCACTCCGGATCGGGCCTGTTTTTGTTGAGAGAGAAGATTGAAAGAGTCTCAGGGCTGTGTCAGTATCTCTCGAGTGCATAGTTGTCTCACTGTTTCTGAAATATGAATATGATATGAAAGGCAATTAGATTAGCCCTCAGCAATATTAAAGATACATGCCACTCACAGACACAATGCTCTGCTGATACTTCAAGTTGTCACTGCGGTTTCCATCTTCCAGCTGGGCGTGTAGAGGATGGAAGCTGTGTCCAGACACACTCATCTCCCGCTCACACTAGACTGCTGATAAGGTCCAGGAACTGCCTCTAGTTGTGGCGGTGCCTCCAGTCACACACTCGCATGTACGCAAACCTCCAGGGGATATGGGCTGGACCATAAAGGCCTTGATAGGACCCGAGTGTAAACATCCCCACAGGATTGCGGTCCAATGAAAGGAAAAAGCCGTCAGGAATTTGTTTTCTTTGTCTGTTTTAGTCTGTGTGCGTATATGTTTACATGTGTTTGTGTGGTTTTGTTCAGATAACACTTTGGGATACCATTGTAGGTTGAGCAATGAGTATTTGGCCTCATGAGACAGTGACATCATATTGCTGTTACAATGCACGTTGCACATATTGTATAATGGAAAAGGCAAGAAATTTTTTTGTGGCTAAGTTTCCTCCATCTTTTCCTCCCCACAGGAAAAGGAGGGTGTCGAGGCAGTGTCTGTAGGGGCCATTCTCTCCGATTACCAGAGGGTCCGTGTGGAAAATGTGTAAGTCAGACACACGCTCATGGTCCAGAACACACTTTCTAACTAAAGTGCGCACACTGCGCTTAGGCCTCTGAACTTGAATGACGCACACTCTGTGGTCCACTGAAGGAAAAGAGTACATCCTCTGTAGTGTTTAACTCACTGTGTGTTCCAAACTTGGACTGAGTTTTGTTTAAACACATACACACAAACACACACACACATACTCATATACACACACTCTAAGTTCTGTTTATGCCATTTTATTTAGACTAACTTTGATTTTATGGTGCGGCTCTGTTTGTGGAGCAATGATTTCAAGAGAAGGAATGAAACTGATAGTTTCATAATTGTCATGTGATTTTTGTTAATATAAAAGAAATGCACTTTCCCATAATGGGTGAAACACAACAGTCTCATTTGCAAAAAGATGAGATGATCCTTGTGACACAGATACCCATATGTCTTTCTTATTCTTGTTCTTGTTTTATTCTTTCTCTCTTTGTTTTTCTTTGCCTCTCGTCCTCTCTCTTTGTTCTCTCTTGTTCTAAACTTATAGAGACTGGACACATTGCAGTACAAAAGCTCTCTTCTTATTAACAAATCCTGCTGTCAGTCAATTATTGTTTCTCCTTATACACACTAGATGCATACACATAAACATCTCAGGCATTTCTTGAGCAGTAGAGGTTTGTGTGCAGACTTTTTGGCTCCAGTTACCTGTTGTGGTGTTTCTCATGAGTTTATGCGACAGACAAGCTTCAGCTTAAGATGGAGTTTTTGTGTTTGTCTTGTCTTTGAGTAAAGCCACGGGCAGTGGTGGCAGGTGAGAGCATGTCCTGCGGGCCTATCAGGGTGGCAGCCTTCCTGCAAATGGAGAAGTTGCCCAGCCCAGCTGGCTTTGAAGTCATTTTGAAGTTGGCAAATATTCAATATTAACCACTATGCTTCTCCTTCTCTTTCTACAACCTACTGCTCTCCCTCTTCTCTTTCACCTGTACCCCAGATGTTTGCGGCTAGGTTTGCAGCCCCTGGCCTACCTGTGGCGCCAAGACCAAGAGTCCCTGCTCTCCAAGATGATATCATCTGACCTCCATGCTATCCTCATCAAAGTTGCCGCCTTCGGTGAGTTTGTGTCTCACTCTTTTGTGTCTCAGGCAGCTGGTGAGCAGTCTAACTTCCCCTCCCTTCTGGTCTAATTCTTTACTCTCTTCTTACTTTCTCTGGAGGTGCCGTGTTGGTTAAGTGGTGTTTGGCATGGGGATCGAAGGGACAGAATTTGGATAAGTGAGGGATAGGAGGAGGAGAAAGAGAGGTGTAACCAGAGAGAAAAAGAGAGACAAGCAGAGTAATGCCCTAATCATTAATCTGTGGCTTAGCAGCGGTGTTGAGACTTGTGCCAGCGGCGAAGGTATTGAAGCAGAGAACAATATGAAAAAGATAAGAAGCACAGGGGGAGGAGGTGTGAGGGAAGTGTGCGGTGGTATTGGGTGGGTGGGTGGGTGGGTGAGTGGAGGGAGGGGGGAGGGTTGGCAGTTGAGAAATAATCACAGGTGATTGCCCCGCACATTAATGCAACCTGTCAATAAGTGGCACACGTCCCCATTGTGCGAGAGAAACACTACATTCTCTGCTTATGCATAGCTCCGAATACACGGTCCGTGAAGCGAAGATTAAAATCTCTCATTTACGCTTTTCAGCTGCTTCAGCACTGAGGGAAGAGGTTAATGTGGTGTCACCTGCTCTCTACCTGCCTGTTTTGGAGCCCGAGGACAGGAAGCTCAGATTACTGAATAAGGAGAGAGAGTAAAAAAAAAAGTTTTCTTTTTCTTTTCTCGGGTACATGACGTTAAGATCCCTACCTGTATCTACTTGACAGTGCAGCTGGATCCCTTTTGACGGTGCCATTGATAAATGATAATTACGGCTACAAATGGTTCTTTTTACTCTCAAACTACTCACGGCAATAGATCTTCATGTAGACACTGTTTACGTGCTGTTAAGTGCTTGTTGTCACCTTTGGTAGCAATCAGTCGAAAAGGGGTCCACGGCTGACTGATGACCCGCAGAGCTGAACAGCCCGTTCAAGATATTCTGCATATCTTTCAACACTGCTCAAATAACCTCTCATGGAATGCACTTGTCAGACCATTTATCTTTGGTACTTTATTTTCTGGACCCATTTCTCATTTTTAATGGTCTCATGATAAAGGACTTTTTGCTAATAAATAATATAACTTGTCAGATGCCTGTCAAAGGAGAGATGATGTCAGAATCCATGTTTTTTTTCCTGCGGAATTTTGTGGGATTCTAATTATTGTTTAGCCGTCAAAATGTATTTTTCTTTCCATTACACATGTAACCAGACAAGATCTGCATCTAATATTAATTGATGAATCATAATGCCAAGTTACCGTTCTGGAATAACACACAGAGGGGAAAACCACACCTTAAAGACCTCAGTAACCCAGCTACCTCTGCCAAGCTTTCTACTCTAAACACAACTTTGTCTAAAAGCAAATTCTCAACATTTTTTGGAAGATTATAATTAGAAAGGAAAATCACCTCAGGTGCCTTTGAGTGTGTATCTTGGCCTCCCACTGTAGGTGTTTGTGCGAGTATGTGTGCATGTGTGTTTTGGCTACAGGTAAAAAGGAATGATCTTATCAGCCCTGACTCCTCACCTGTCCCGAGGCAGTGGTAATTAGAAAGGAGAGAATTGAATAGGGGTGCAAGCACCCGAGGGGTTTTAGGCAGCACTCATATAATTGCAGCTTTGGTGGGAGCAGGTCTGAGCAGTGAGGTGTGCTGTTTAGGGGAGATTGGGTGACAGAAGGGCATACCTGGTGGCCTTTGGTGTTTGTGAATATGTGTGTGTGTGTGTGTGTGATCGAGCAAAAGAGATTTGGAGGGATTTACTTGTGCAGACCTCATGAGGAGAAAAAAACAACTCTCACAGGGCAAAGGTTAAGTCTGCATCTGAACTGACAACCAAGAGCTTATAATATTCTGTGGTAGTATAAAATGAGGTTTTGGTGGGCTCTGAATTGTGAGAAGTCATTCAAGATTAATATTCCTTCATTAGGCACTCAGAAAGACAGGTGGAAATTAGCAGTGAATGGATAAAGGAAAGAAAAAAACACTTTCTTTCTTAAGGGAGGATATATCTCTAAATGACAAATCCCTGTAGTGAAAAGACAGCTGTCCAAATGCAGGATGATCCTCTAAGTGAATTCTCTAGAAGTGTTCATTTGCGTGCTGATGGTAGCCTAAAAACCTCAAAAGAAAGAAAGAGGATTTTAGTCTTTGAAGATGCCAAATTGCATGTAGTGAAGTTAGTTCAGCTATCTGAGTCTAAGCCTGAATGTCACAAAATGCTTCTAATTGGCAAAAAAAGCATCTCTCTCAAAGGGAAATGCATATTTTTGTTTGGAAACTCTCTCTTTATAATGCAATATAGCTTAAGCTAATCGTGGTAATTGGCAATTCCAAAAGCTAGTATTAAATATTCATGTAATTAGTTAATAGACTGATTAGTGCAGGTGTGTATGAGGGCACAGGTTCAGCAGTTAATTGGTCCTCAGCTCCAGAGATAATTGGCATGTGTGAAATCAAGGTCTATCTGCAGGAAAACCTTTTATCACTGCATGATCTTTTACCCTTCACACGAACATAGCCTTTACGCTACACAGAAGAGAATTTATGTCACAAATTTGCTTTCACTGATCACGTCACCCACTTAAGGACATTGAATATAATTTAATATATACTTAAAGGACAATTAATGTTCAAAGATATTATAGAACATTTACTGGAAGTTCTTTTCAACGTGGAAGTCAATGAATAATCAGTTTAAATTGCTTTTTTTCTGTTATCTAAAGAAACTAAGAAAAATGCAATCTGTTTTTTCAATTACCGAAGGTACATGAAAGAATGTTTGAGTTATAGCACCAAGGCATATAGATATGACAAATGTTTTTAAAGAAGCAATACCTTGCAGAAGATATTTGGAGATTGGAGGATGATGATCATGGTTCAGACACTATCAGACACTATATGAGCAGTCCCTGCAAAAAGACAGTGCAGTTTGCTCCTGGTATTAAACGTCCTGTCCTCTAACCCAGGACAAATAAACGTTTAGTCGTTTCAGTCAATCAATCCATATTTTCTGTACAACAGTAAAGCTCTGTAAGGCAGGTACGGTGAATGATAGACTCATGGTTTCTGATTTTAGGGCATTAGTTTGTAAGTTGTTTTCTCTTGAGTCAGTTCAAAAACGTACTCAAAAACAATAAAAATTCAAATCTGAATTAAATTCTCATGTCAAATATAGCTGCAACTAATTTTTGCTTTATACAATGTCTATAATAGTGACATTCACTATCACAATTTTCTAAATCCTAAGGTGATATCTGCAAATGACTTGTTTTGGCCAATTAAAACCCCTGAATATATTCAGTTTATTATCACATAAGATAAACAAAAAGACTGGCTGCCCTCACAGAAACAGGAGCATGGACAACAGGAGAATATCTGTCATTTTAGCTTTTAAGTTTAATCACTAATCAAAATCAGCCCTAAATCTATTAATTGTTTTAAATATTTTCTTTTTGTCTGATTTTTCTGTCTTTTTTAAAAGGCATTTCATGCTTTAGGCATATGGTGGAGAGATGACAGAAGAGGAGGGGATAGCGTGACGGGGAGAGGATGACATGCAACAAGGTTGCAATTACATGCTCAGCACCTTAAACCACTTAAAAAGTATTTTTGGTTTTTTTTTTATTGCCTTTATGATAGAGACAGCTGAAGATAGACAGACAGGAAAGGGGGACAGAGAGAGGGGATGACACACAGCAAAGGGCCGCAGGTCGGATTCGAACCCTGGGCCGCTGCTGCAAGGACTCAGCCTCGGTACATGGGTCGCCAGCTCTACCCACTGAGCTAGCCGGGCGCCCTTGCCTTTTGCTTTTGTATGAAAATGAACGATAGATTATTTAAAATATGCCAACTCACAGTTAATGTCAAGTTCAGTAGTTAGACAACTGTTTTACCTGCCTGCCCTGTTAGCCACTGACAGTGACCCTTTCTTTCCAGTTGTTTTTTAACAGTTAGTAAAGGGTCAAAGTTGAGCTGAAACGTCCTTAAGCCTTATATTCAACCACTTGCGACACACTGCAACTTCACGTGAATTTCCTAAAACAGAATTTTCTTTTGTTATTCATTTACACAAGATTAGTTTTTTCCGTTTAAGTACTGTATGGTTGTAAGTAGTCCCGCTTTCTACTTTTTGATTTGTTGGACTGAAAAAGATTTCATCTTGATGTGATTGCTACACAATTCATGTTGCCTATTATTCTGTTCACAGACTCTGAATTTCAGATAAGAGCCTGACAAATTTCACATATAACCTTAATCTTATCATCCTTTGTACGGTGCCGCCTCCCTCCCCTTCTTTCTTCTTTTCCGTTCTCTATTTCTTTCTCCCTTTCTCTCTTGCGAAGATTAGGTGATAGTGAACAGCTATTGTTTTGGCGGGGGTCTTTGAGAGCGTTGTTTAAAGGCTGATGCAGCTCACTTGCTAGGGAGGAGATGCTCATTTCATCCATTTAAAGGCTAAAATGTTACACATCATGAATCCAATTTCTCTGCCTTTTTCTCTCTGAAGGCAGGGATTAAAGCTGAGCTGTCAGCTGGCACGCCAGATCTTAAGACAACCTGCGGATGTCTGTGATACAGCGCTCAGCTCAGCTCAGACAGTATCTAGAATCTCCCAGGCTTTTAATTTAGCATTAGGCTCAGTAAGCAAAATCACAAGCAGTTTCAATTAAATAGGTAACTCACTGCTGTGGGTTTAAATGAATCAACGTCTTCAAGGTGGGAAAAGGCCAATCATGATCGTTAAAAAGAATTAGTGAAAAAATGTGCTCTGGAAATAATTGCCATTGACTTCTATAAGGGTAGAAGTGAGAGCAGCATTGTCTGTAGAGTTCAGAAGGAGAATATGTTTTTTATCTGAAAGCTTTGCCTTTCGGTCCAACAAGTGACTTGAAGTGTTTTTTCTAAAGCAGAATCAAAGGGTTTTCCAGATTTTACTTGTTATTGTAAGATGTCTGTCTGCTATATTGTTAACTTGTATTGTGTCTGTACTGTGTAAAAGTTTTTAACATCAGTTTTTACTGGGGTTTTTTTCATATCTCGATAAAAAAACTAACTTTACTGTCCAAATGGCTCTTGGCCTCCTGGTAAACTTTTTATTCTTTGCTAATTTCAGCCCACTAAATGTCAACAAGGTTTTTAAAAAATGCTCTCCCTCATTACTGGACTCCTTGGTTTTAAAGTTCACTGAATTTAATTGGAGTTTTATAGGATAATACGAGGTAAAAGGCCCTTTTAAAGGAGAGCCATTCCTCTCAGTCTCTCTTAGGGAAGCTCCTCTCTCTCCAAAGTGCGGTCTTGCTGTCTCTGGCGGCAGACTAATGGCAGCTTCTAGTGAGCTTATTTGGGTTTAATGTGGCATAATGAGGTTAGGTAATTGGGTTTAGGTCAAGTTGTAAAACAGGTTCAGAGGAGACAGAGATGTGAAGATCATGTAAATGAGTGGTGTTAGATCGCTGAAGGCTCACACCGGTGGCTACTCAAAGACTTCTCAAAGCATGCATTGCACAAGTGCGAGCTCAGTCCACCTATCCTCATTTCCAAATGGTTTCAGTAACCTTAAGTCAGTCAGGAACATCAATTAAGAAAACACTCAAACAAGTGCTAAGTGGTCTTGGGAGAAATGCCTCCACATTAATGCCATCTTTGTATCATTTTATCATTCACTCCTGTCTTCCTAAATTTCCATCGTCCTCTCCCCTCCTTGTAAATATCAAATCATGTATCATATATTATTTAAGAGCAGGGAAGTTAATGAACATATTAAAAAAGGCGGCATCCCCTCAGCAATTTGGAGCCAATTATTAAAATTTGTTAAAAGGCATGACTAATTAAAGAGGATATTTAAATGGGATTGAATTTTAATGCTTTTTTTTTTTTCTCCTCCTTATTACCTTTGTGGCAGGGTTAAGATGAGAGGATGTTGAGATTAGATATTCTCACACTAATTAAGACCACAGATCCCCTGGGAAGAGAATAAGGGCCTGCTCATTCTCTCCCTCCACACTCCCTCCCTCCGCTGTGGCCCCTCAGTCTCTCCCCCGTAGTGCTGGACCACCGGGGCCCGGAGGAGAGACACAGCTGGGATTAAGATGAACCCGGGATGGGATGCGACGTCCCTCTGCCACGTCTCCTCTCCCTTTCCTCCTGTCTCCCATCCATTGCTCCCCATGGGGCCCACGGCTGACACGTTAACCTTTGAGGTTGTCAGGCCATGAGAGAGGAGAGATTCTCACATTACGATTAACTTTGTTCCTTTAATTAAACACATGAACGTGCCGATGAACAGGACCACGTGATGCCTCGAAATAGAGGAGCTATATTAGACTTTCTGAGAAATGATTAGGGACAATTCAGCAAAAAAAAAAAATTCTTGCAATGGCACTACTGTCACAACTACACGTCACTCCGTATAGGTCATCAGCAACTTGTTAATGATTATGTCAATCAATTAATAGGCAGCCACAGAAAATAGAAATGGAAAATGTTGGCGAATAAGGCAAGCCTTCTCCGGTGACCATTAAGATGTAATTGTTTGGTTCCAGAGACTTTGCCCTCATATTTTTAGATAACAATCGGGTATTTTACACTAAACATAGTGGCATAGTAGCACATAACTACGTGGTTTGAAATTTCCTAAAATTACGCATTTTACATTCACGTCCTGTTTGTGTTTTACTGTTCTATTCTTTGTAGAACGCACCTGGCACTCAGGGCTTTTGTCGGAACAGGGAAAAATGTACAGTAGGAAGATGTTGCCTTTGCTTTATTTGTGAAAGGAGTTGTTTACAGGGTGAGAGTAAGTTCAGCGTGGTGCCATCAGGAACACGCATCTGAAAGACAAAATTGGAGAAAACCTTTCAACACTTAACAAGCTGAGTAAAGTGTTTTTTAGTGCACCCTTTTATTCCTACCAATATGTACATAATGCTCGAATAGGACTGATCCAAATGGATCATTTGTGTGACGCCATGGTCTAGATTTGGATATCTTTATTATTTTATTAAAAGGGCAGGAAGTCTGCTCGCTTGGTTGTTTTTACTTGTTTTTGTCTGGGGAGTGAGGGTGCAGTAGCCTTGTATTTTAGGAGTGCGCCACCACTTTGTTTTCATACAATGCTCTCCTCCAACCTTCTTTCCCCTCCTTCTTTTCTCTCCCATGCCTGTGAGTCACTTCCATGCACCATTTCAGGGGAAGGGGAGGGAAAAGGCAAATAAACAAGATCTCTTTCCAGAGTTTATATTCTCAAAGGGAACTAGATGAGGGGGTGGCGGGCGAGGGGGCGTGGGGGGTCTGCGGCCAGCAATTGAAAACTGTTGCCCTTACCCGGAGAGATCTGTGTACACTACTTGCAAAGTCAAACAAATAGATCCAGGGTGCAGGTTTACGTGTGTGTTTGTGCGACTGCCCGTAAACCTCCCTGCCTGTCATCTTCAATCACTGTTTTCTGTTCCTGATCAGACCTCTCTCTCTCTCTCTCTCTCTCTCTCTCTCTCTTTCCATACGTGTGTCTGTGTGAAATGGTGTTTGTGTGTGTGTATTTCTCTCTTTGTGTATTGCTGTGTGACCGTTCGTATGTCCCTGTGTGCCTTTCCCACGTGGGTGCCAGGCCTGGATCCAGAGAAGCACTTAGGGAAACCTCTGGCTGACATGGAGCCCTATCTGAAACAGGTCACATACTGGTAGATTCTCTGCCACCCCATTTACTCTCTTGACTGCATTACTTCCATGTATTTATACATGTACATCATCAACAACTTAATACTAGAGTGAAATAAAAAAAAAAATGTAACCCTAACTTTTAGTTTTAGAATTATTGTATTCTCAGTGCTCTGCTTTCAGTGATTTATTTATTATGAGAAAATATCCCAATCATATTCTTGTACAATTGCTTCTTTTTATCACAACGTTAACATTGTTTTTGGTATTTGTCTTATAAATTGCTGTCAAAATAATATACTTCTAAACTGAACGTGGAGTAATGTAAGACTTTTACAGTATTTTTAAATTTTTACTTTTAGAGTATTATTTCAAGTTGCATTGTGTAATAAATCTAGTCTATAAATAAGGTAAATAGTGTGTTCAAATGATATAAAGGAGTTTGAAAGCATTTTAATATGGTGTTTTATTTTCACTGATTAGCTCTCCCAGAAGTATGGAGTTCATATTTGTGGAGAAGGAGGTGAATATGAAACCTTCACCCTTGATTGCCCCCTCTTCAAAAAGAAGATAGTTATGTGAGTTAAAATACATAAATTCTTTGTCTTTTTTTTTTGTCTGCTACTGTATATGAAAGTTTTTTTTTTTTTACTTGTGGGTGTGCAGTGATGCAACAGAGACAGTGATCCACTCAGCAGATGCCTTCGCTCCAGTTGGCTACCTGCGCTTCACCGAGATACACACCGAGAGCAAAGACAGCGTGAGTCAAACTCCTGAAGGAATCCATGAACTTGTTTTACAAATAAGATCAATGCTGTTCAATGCCGAATCAATCATCGTACAACAAAAGTTTGAGTCTCTTTGGGGGCTGATTACTTTAAACCCACTCTGAGGGCAAAACAAATACAAGAACAAAACCTTTTGGTGTCTGATAACTTTGTCGAGCAGAAGAAAAACACAGCACTGCAGGGCAGGGTTCAGATCGACCTCCAGAGGGCCTCCCTCTCTCTCTCACTCACACACATTCTTGCTCTCGGTCTCTCCCTTCATCCCTTGCTCTCTCTCCTCTAGCCCCACATGGCCTACTTTGACGTCTGCAATATTCACTGCAGCCTGAAACTAGGCCCAGCTTAATAAACATGTCTGCTCACATTAAGGCGCTTTGCATTCAGGTAGCTGGCTAAACGGACATGGGCGGGGGTTGCAGGGAGGCATAAGAACTGGCTTTTGGTATATTAGAAGGGAACAGGAATTTCGCAGACAAGAAGGGTGACACTTTCGAAACATTTTACTTTCTCTGCAAGAACAAACAATTCTATAATCCTTACATTATTGTCAAAGCTTCTGTGATGGAGACTCTGACCTCTTTTTATGTGTACTTTTAATTGCTCTGGTTCAAATTGTCTGGTTTAATAAGACACCTACTAGCTGATGAGTGGCCCTGCCGACAGGAAGTGCTGCTTGCATGCCGTTATATTTGTTGCAGCGAGTAAAGAGTATAAGGGTCACACCGCGGGAAGCTACTCGCCTGTAGCTCGACATGTCTTCAGGGTAAAGCATGCTATTTGCACGTGTGTTTCTTTGCACATCACACGACAATGTGTACATTTGATTTTGCGTTTGTTTTTTGTGCAAGAGGGTGTGTGTCTGTGTTTGTAGCCTTGCGTGTGTGTGTGTGTGTGTGTGTGTGTGTGTGTGTGTGTGTGTGTGTGTGTGTGTGTGTGTGTGTGTGTGTGTGTGTGTGTGTGTGTGTCTGCATGTTGGGTGGGGGCTGGGACTGTTATGGACAGAAAACATACCCCCATCCCACAACCTCCGTGACCCTGCAGCCTCACTCCCTACAGCTATATATTTTTTCGCTCCCTACACCAACACTCCCACCCCCATCACACGAACACACAGACACACGCCCACACGCTCCCACAGCCCCTGTAGCCCCCCCTAGGTTGCTGGGGGAAGAGCAGGGAGATCCAGGGCCTGCAAGGGGAGGGGAGGAGCGGGGGGGCAACCAGGGGAGAACCTGCCCTGGTTCAGCCTTCTGAAGCTCTTCTCGTCAGGGTGACAGATCTGCGGTGACACCAGCACTAGAGGAAACTGCACCGAGCTCAGGGGGTGGGGATGGACCACCATCATTTGCCCTCCGTTAATGCTAGTCAAGCTATTTTTCATGCTGGCCAGGAGAGAGGGGCTGAAGTATAATTAATTTGATTATCATATGGCCAAATGCAGTTGACAGCAGATGAGGGGGGTGAATGAGTGTTGGGCAGGGCGAGGGGGGCGTTGAGGAAATATGAAATATGTATTTAAATGTGTGACACCCCAGCAGGATTTGGCAGATAATATGTATGCCTTAGAGAATGGTAATGATTTGTTATTTAAAAAAGTAGCCGAGTGTAGAGGCAAAGTATAAGCAAACAAAAGAAAAAAAAATACTGGTGAAATCCAAAACATGTCTCACCCATCCAGTCATGAGTTTTGACTGACAGCCAGCATGATTGAATCTACAGTATCAGAAAACACCACTCCCCATTCCCCTGAACCACGAATATGTTAGCATGTTGTTTCATATTCATTCACCTTGAAGTTATGTGTGTCTGGGCCCTTGTCATGAAAGACTGACACACACAGCCCGCTTAGTGGGGTATTTGAAAAAGGCTGGCTAATTATACAGCATTTTGTCTGTCTTTGCAAAAGGCTCAGCACTCTTTGGTGGGCGTTTGGCCTGATGTATTCCCTGTGGTGCTTTATTGCAGGATGTGGTGGCGAGAGCTTTGCCCCATGGTAGTTGTCCTTGCCAGAGCGCCATTGACAAGATGACTGAGGAGGTGGAATATGCTGATCAAGCTGAAGACAACCAGCAAGAATTTACATCAAATTGTGACCTTAGTTGTCAGCAGGGCCACGGTGAGATTCATTTATGGTGAAACATGCACATGCTGACATGCATGCTTGAGTGTGTATTTATGTGTGTGTGTGTGTGTCAGATGATATCTGTGTGTTGTGTATGCTCCCTGAATCTGTGTCATGCGGCCAGCATCATGATGCTAGTATTTCTGAATGATTGTTTGACAAGCGCTGTCATTTCAGCAGTGAATTGTGACAGTCTCTGAATTAATTTTTCCTTTGACATAAACCACCTCTGCATGAATTACCTCTCACACAGCATATGTCCTGGTTATAAATAAAGAAAAAAATAAATGACATGCTTATTTTGTATGTTCTAAAAGTCTCAATCAAGAATTATAATCCTTGGACCAACCATTTGTATGTACTGCTACTGCTCTTCATCTTCATGTTGCTGTATCTCTTCACTGTAGATCTCCCTCCATCCTGCTCACCAAGAAGCTCCAGAGGCTATCAGTGGATGTCTGGCATCAACGGCCTTCAGAGCCAAGAACCCGGGATCCAGGGCCAGACATGGGCAGCTTTCACACAGCTGCAAAGTAAGGGAAAGTGTGATGTAGGCAAAGTACTGAGCAAGATAGCGAACACTCGAAGAACATTTTGTGGACATGCTTTTAAATATCTTTATATTAAAGAAAAACACAAGGGGTATACTTGAAAATTCCTTTTTGCTTCTGGGAAATCACTGAAGCAAAAGGCACACAGAACGACACTCACAAGTAAACTAACCTTTAACAATGTTATCTTTTGATATGATCAAGGGAAGATAATACAGAATTCCTATGTCCAGGAGTGATTTAAGCAGCTCAGTAAAACAGATTCTGTGAAGCCCAAAAAATTCAATGGAGAGAAACATATGGGGAAAACTTCTTTGTCCCTTGGGTGTCTTTCTTTCTCCTTGCTGTGTTTGCTAAAGACACACGAGGAGGTGTGGCAGAGCTTGAAAAGTCGTTCCTTATTCAAAAGTGCTTGTCAACCCAGCAGGCAAAACCCTGTGTGTCAGAGACTCCGTCCGTCACAACAATGGTGTAGTGAGTTGGCCACCAAACAAGGACAAGCACTTCAAATTAACCAAGCCCTTTTAAAACACACACGCACAGTGCAGTCATGTTGGGTGGGTTATCGTTTTTGCCCTGCAGAAGTTTGAAAGTGCACGCTTTTACAGTGTATCTGAGTCTCTTTTTTTTTTCTCTTTCTCTTTATGATGGAGAAAGAGGAGCGAAAGATGAAAAGCATATTTAATGTTTATCGTGGTGCTCGGCTGAACAGCCTTCACAGTGCAGAGACAATATTAAACAAGTTAATATTTAATGAACAACCTCTTTGTATGAGGGCGAAGTAGTCTGAGACGCTAGTGTTGGCAAAGGAAAAACAAACTTGAAGCTCTTTCAAATGATTGTAGGGAGAAAGGCTTTGCTTTGAGCCCTTGTGCCTGCGTTTGCATCCAAAGCCTACGATGTGCACATATACTGTGTAAAACCGCTCTTTATAGAAGGGGACAAACACCATTACCACTTTAAAGCAGTTTCAATAGATTTCAGTGTCATAAAAAATCATCAGAACTACCCACCTCTTGACTACACCAGTGATAGCATTAAAACGACTGAACATGCTGACTATAGGGTAGGTAAAGCACAGCTGTAAGGCTGACACTTACACAAGCAAATGCCTGTACACTGACTTAGACTCCATGAGTATTTGTTCACTGGCTGTTGCAGTGGTAACAGATACAACTCCTCAAAAGGAGGAAAACAAACAAGAAAAAGAGTACTGAGGTAAACCAAAAACATGAATCTCAAAGAGCCAATTGCATGAAATTGGTGATCAGTTACAAAAATATGCTGACGCCAAATGCAGCATTTCCTTTTAGTCACAAACATACCATTTTGCCTTTGTAAACACAGCAAATTTGTATTTTATTTGGTGTATATTGCTTTTTTATTTGGAGTGTACTGCTTCTCTGCCAGATTTGTTATATGTAATATACTACAGCAGTTACCAAATATGCATAAGTTGGCTTAGCCAAGATGGAGCAAGGTCAGGTTACTAAAGTTTACGATATGCTACATGACAGTGATTTACAGTATAATGTGTTTCATGTGTTCAGGTGAGTTGGACAGCAGAGGCTGGAAGATGAAGGACATTATCCTCGTCCACCTGTATGTGAAGTGCATGGAAGACTTTGTTCCACTCAACACAGTCTATAAGAAACACTTTGGCATGAACCCTCCAGCCAGGTAAAGCAAACACACATACCTGTTGTTTTTCTTCTCAGGAATCTTTACATGGTTTAAACTCTATAGCATTTAGCATTTATTCTCAATTTGAGTTATCAACGTAGCATTCATTCTATGTTTCCCCACTTTTCCTTGCAGGGTGTGTGTCCAGGCTCCTCTACCTGCCGGTCAGCTGCTGCAGATGGACTGCCTGCTCCATGACTGGACCGAGCCCCTTGAGGAAGGTTGCTTCCACCAGAGGGAAGCCCTGCATGTCCAGAGCCTGTCCCACTGGGCCCCAGCAAACATCGGGCCCTACAGCCAGGCCCTCAGGGTAAGACTCTAATGTCCATAACAGAGGGTGTTGCTGGTTGTGGGTAAGAGTGTTGGCAGTTTAAGTTTTGTGGTGGCCACAAAGGTAAGTATGTCGTTCTGTTGATAGACTAATCAATTATTCAGATAATCATTTCAGCATTACTGTTTGCTTTACAGGCTGTCGTCTCATTTACATTTTTTCAGTTTATTTATTATTTTTAGTCATCATTTTCTGTTCATTTCGACCTTGTTCTTCACATAACTTATTTGACTACTGATTGCAAATGATAATGAAAACCACTGAATCCCTTGATCCCCATGTTAGGGGCCAAGCCAAAAACAAGGAATGTTATTTTCTTTTGTGTCAGTGTTGGCAAAGTATCACTTGAGGACAGTAAGTCATGGATTAATGGAAGAATACCAAGGATTCATCTGATGAATGATGAATCTTGCCGGTGATTCATATGATTCTTTTTTGTGCTTGACTCTTACAAAGCAATTGAAGTGTCTCAAATTACGTGATTACTTTGAGTGCCTCTCTGTTGTCTCTGTTTATGTATAGATGCATGTGTGCAGATGATTGTGATTATTGCTTTGTGTGATAGTTTGTTCTCATTACTACTTTTATGTATACATGTAAATATGTATCCCTATTGTAGTGGGCAGTGTGTATCCATTTTTGCACTTGTTTGTAAAGCTACGGATCAAACTTCTTTCATATTGTTTCAAACCCAAAAAGAATGTCAAATTCAAAGGCAGAGCAGAGGAAGTGTGGGCCGTGGTTGCACGGTTGGCTTGGTGTTTTGTTTACCCAGTGTGTATTATATGGGATTACACTTGTCAAGGTACTGTCAACAAGGATAGTGTCCATCTCCTCCACACTGTCCTTGATCCTGCAGCCAAATCCGTCTATGAGTGAGAACATGTGTGGATTAGCCATTCGTTTAGAGCTTGACGGCATATCTCACCAGTGTGTCACTGAAGCTCAGAGGATCTTGTGCAGCTTGGATTCCTGAGATGTAACCTACAGAGTCAGGTTTGCTTTTAACATGCCAACAGTGTTTGATTTCCTCAATGGAGTCTCATTGAGACATGAAATTGAAGTCAGCTGTGGGCATGTGCTATTGCCTTTGGAAAAACCATCTAATCTCTCATTCCTCTAATGATCATTCATATCCAAAGCAATTTGAGAAAACAATGAGAGGAGTTTGCTTGTTCAGAGCTGTGCACTGCGCTTCACACGACCCCTGCGTCGTCTCTCCATGTGTCTGCTCCTCCTCCACGCTACAATGACTTAATTTGATCAAAAATGTATTAACAACTCTTCAGTACAGCTAAAGATTTTTACATATTGATACAATTACCCCCTTGCTGTGAGCAAGCATGCGGTGCCACCCCTCCTCTCACCACTACTACGTTGACTCCATCTTAATGACAATTTTCCTTGGTGACTGTTGCTGTGTGACACCATGGCGACAGGGCTCTGGCAACAACAGAGACAGAAAAGCTGCTGCCTAAGACCGAATAACCTGGAGCCCTACACATATACTGTTGAAAAGAATTACTAATTAAAAGAAGGATCCAGCTATACAAGGGGGTTGGAAGGGGGGAGGGAGGTGAACTTTAAATGATTAAAGGATGAATCTGTGATCTTAATTATGTCCAGAGAATGTAATCAGTTTTGTGCAGCAGAGGTGTTTTTGAAGGGGCAATGGCTTAATGAAAGTAATAGAAAGCAAATGACTGTAGCTTTTGACAAAGCGTAGTGATGCTAACCATTTGAATGTGCTGTAGTCAAATAGGACTATAAACTGACCCATGTCCAGCTCTATTGGGACCAGTGTATTCTTTTGACAAGTGTCCAGTGGTTTGAGAGACAGCACATGGCTACTGACAGAACATGGCAGAACTCTGGCCCTGCAGGATTTGATTACAGCTGGTCTCCACAGCGAAGGGTGGTACTGGTGGAGGTATAGAGGAACGGCATTAGGGATTGGCATGTGATGGATGCTGGACCTTCAAACTCCATCCATCTCTTCATCTATCTGCCTGGCTTGTCATGTCTCTCAGCGTCAGCTCTCGGGAACAGCAAGCTGACTGAATGTCGACTTGGCCTGGCAAGCTGACAGATTCAGATCTGTCTTGATTTAAAGAATTAGTTAACCTTTATGATGTCAAAGCTGGGGGCCTCTTGGTGTATTGTATGTTAATGTATGATATGACGGTAGTTTAGGTAAAAGCCGCAAGCTATGAAGAGAAAAGCAGTGATTTTTTAAATTTACGCTTTGTTTTTACATTGTTTCCTTTTGTTCCGTACGTGATTGACATATGTTTACAGGTTGAATTCCCCATAATATGTATTACTTGCAGTGTAATAATCTTTTGTGAGCGCGGTGGTATCAAAGTTCTTGCCACTAATTGTTTTGTTTTGCTGTCTTTTTTTTATCAGAGATCTAATGCAATTTGTTTTAGCACAATTTGCATAATCTAATTAAGATATAAGAAATGTCACTCTTTTATATCAATCAATTCATTAAAAACAAACGATGCTCTCAGACATCCAGTTTTTGCTGCAAAATATCAAAACAAATTCTCTCATTACAACAAAAGCTTAGTAATGGCATGCTTTTAAAAGAAATCAAAGTTATTACTGCATTTTCTGTCAGTTCTTTCTTAGGAGGAGCTTTTAAACAATTCTATTGCATTAACATAATAGCAGGAAAAAAGAGCACGGGTCTCTTTCTTAAGCCAGCAATGTTCCACATTTTTACACAGAAATCCATTTGTACTAATAACAGACGATTACGCTTATGAGTTGCCAGATGGAAAAAATTGACCTATCATTCACTAAAGTCAGAGTTAACAACAGGAGTCTCAAACTGCAGGATTTTTTCCACATCTATTTAGATTAATGCTGCCTGTTCCATCACAATCCCTTTGGAGCCATATTTACAGAGGCAAACACAAAAGCCAAACCAGGTCTGAATAGAAAGTCTATCAGTTGAATGGCTGTTAAACATCTCCTCTTTCCTGTTAAGGTAAGTGGCTCACCCCTGGGATATTTGCTAGGAAATTATACTCACTGATCAGATTCTGCGGGGTGTGTTTTGGGAGCTGACTGCACTAGCCTCAGGTTGCTGGTGAACACTAACCCCTTGCTTCATTCCCCTAATTGTGAGTGACAGTCAATATTGTGGAAGACCGTCTTGCACAAGCCTGCGATAGGATTTGCATTGGATTTTGAAAATTGTCAAAGTGGACTGTGAGGCATCAGGAGGGAAGTGGATCTGACGTTGCCAATTAGCATCAAAGGGAGGAGTGTACTGCGGAGGATGGTAGAATTTGAATAATCTTCTTACAGGAGTCTCAATGTCTAAAAACAATGAGTTAAACTTTGTCTGACCCTCTTGATGAAAAGTTCAGAGGTTAGACTGAGTCATAGTTAGGCTGGGCCACCCATGTAGACTAAAACTACAGCATAGAAAGAAGGGGATTTTGTTTATTTCAGCCAACAACATAGTATATAGAGTATGTTTTATATATTAGATTGCTTTAAGGACACTTTAAGATAATTGACAGTACAGACTGATAGGAAACATGAGATTGAAATTAAATGTGACAAGATCTCCAAACTAAAGTGAACATAGAGTGGTTTGTGGTTACGTGGTATGCATCTGAGACTACTGGGTCATGAGAGCACCCCATAAAATATATGTTTTAACGTATCATTCTCCATCTGTGTATTAAAAGATACATCAAGATATGTCACTGTGTTTTCCATTAGAAATGTAGCAGAAGAACAAATAGTACATGATTAGTTTCTGAAGATAGCAGCCCTGCTTTATTGCTTCATGGTGAACAATCAAAGGGTTGACAGCTAAATATGAGCTAGTGTGGTGAGTGAGAAAGCAAAGATTTTAGTGATGAATAGCAGAAATTAAGCTAAGTGCTTTAGTTTTATGGTTTGTTGTTCTCACCCAGAATGTTTCACTACTGTAAAAGAGCCAACATGCACAATTCAGCACCCCCCCCCACCCCCTTCCACACACACACACACACACACACACACACACACACACACACACACACACCATTACATCAAACATACCCCCACCTCAAACTTCCTTAGCCTACATCTAGAGAATACATCTACCTCAATTACCACAGAAGAGTAATTAGCCAAAAAACAGTGTGTGTGCGTGCATCTGCGTTCGGGGAGGTATTCATGCAGCACGAACAGATTAATTAGGACATTTAACTTCATTTCTAATATAACAAAATTAATCCCATAAAATATGAGGGATCTCGGAGGAGGTGCCTGTCAGCATCTGACGCCTCTCCCCTGTTTGCCATAATCTATTAAAACCTTGCTTTTATCTCACCTCTCCCCTGTCATACTTTATGGATTTTTTCATAAACACAGCCCATACTTCATAAATGTCTCAATTTTCTAGTCTATTAACATTACTTCAAAAGCGCTTGATAAAAGAGGAGGGCATGCGTGAAATAATGCACCAATAATACGAAGTGCTGGAGGCTAGAACAGTAGGGGCGGCTCTCTGGCATGCACACTCAGACAATGCAAGGGATGTTATCAACTTTAATAAAAGAACAAATGATCACTTTTGACCAAGGAGGAGGGGAGATGAGGCAGAGAGGCAGGGGTGGGGCCAGGAGGGGAACAGTTGTCGAGTAATTGAGTCGATGAAAAATGAGGTCTTGAAGGCTCAGCGGTTTGAGCAATTGTGTGATTGAAGGCTACTCAAAACTACAGCGTTCTTCAGTACATGTAGTTACTTGCCCCTCTTTGCAGCGGAGGATGTTAACATAGATTTGTTTTTTCTTTTCATTTCACTGAAGGCACAAGTAGAATGGGCTTGCTGTTTTCTCTCTTGAATGCCTGAGTTATGTGCAATGAGCTGAACCTTTTGTCTGGAGAGAGTCAGAAAGGTCTTGACTGACAGTCGGGCTTCACCTCACAGCCTTTCCCCTAGCGAGCATCGATTCAGTTCCTGTCTC